AAGTGTCAACTTACTGAAAGTATTGGAAGAATACTTATTTTGCAAACCTCTTCTCAGGGTCAGAATTTATTACAAAATATGTGCCTTCAGTGGGGAGAACAGATCTTTCTTGACTTTGGAAAACCCCAGGATTTTGTAAGTTGATGAGAGACTCAAGGAGATCTAGTTAAATATTTTGTAAAAGTTATCACAGAATCAAAAAAAGTTTAAAAATTCATTTGGCATCCTCATTGCTGTTGTGTTTGCTGGGAATGTTGCATGCAAAACACCCCAATCTTATCAAATCATTAACATTGATTCCAGTCTTAATGGGACCATTTGTTTTTCATTTGGAGACATTACCAAGCATTTTGACTAGTGTACATGGCTTGTAGTAAAAAGGCTTTTACATAGCAAAGTTTTTTACCTCATGAACAAATTATGCTCCTTCTTCTCATGAAGGATACATGGCCTCACTCCAGAGAATTAAGTATTTAAAGATTAAAACAATTTCAAAGCTGACACAAATTATTTAGTGAATAAAAGCCCCATTCCTTAAAAAATATTTGGATAATAAAAGCAAACCCATGTGAATGCAATAAATAGATTTTAATTAGGCATAATTGGATTTGCTTATTGGTTGTAGTCAGTCATGCTGGAATTCTTTCTCCTGATGCCTGTGTGCTCCACACTGCTTAAGTATGATGTGACATAATATGAAACGGTGAATTGACGGCACAAGGAAACTATTTGGATGGCTGTCTGGAGTTGCCATTATTGGCTTTAATTATGACTTGCTGTCCTTTGGGTACTCAATGAGCCAGAAAAGGCTTCATATGTGCCAAAGTATTCATTAGTATTCCCCCTTCTGTCATTGTGCTTGCAGAAAGAGTTTCTATCTGGCACCTGACTGCAGTTCTTCCTAGCAAGGACTGAGATGCTTTGCAGATTCTGATAATCATCTGAAAGTACACCAGTGTCTCTACTTTCTGGATGCAGTAGAAATTGTTCCTAGGTAACAGTGGAAGAACTCAGACCACTTTCTGATGTAACTGGAGAACAAACAATTTTTGCGGTTGGTCACGTGACATGGCTGCTTAAAGAAAATTTTGTGGTACCAGCTGGAGAAAGAAAAATAATTCCTTGTTTTCCTCTTCCAGGTTAGGGGACCTGTACTACGGCTTCATGGGGAAGTCCTTGTATATATCAGCATTTTAGGCACTTTGCCATCATTCCATGTAGAACTAATAATGAAGCCCAAGAAACTTCCTGAAATAAAAATAGCCTTTGGAGTCCATTTTGGTAATGAAAAATTGTCTATAGTGAAGAATTTTGGATAGAATAGAATAGATTGATTAAATAGAATAGAATTAAATGGAATAGATTTTTTGTCTGCCGTAGGGTGTCCCTAGGGTAGGTACAAAGCACACTAATCACTCCTAAAGAATACTCCATGAACTCTTCTGTGCTGAGAATGGTGACCACTCCTTTGGCATCTGCTCTTGAACAGACTGGTGGACAAGGATGAATTCCTGCTCCAATACATATTTACCATTGCAAAACTTAATTTTAATTTAGAACCTTGTTTGAACTTCAAGTCTTGTTTTTAGCAGCCTTTGAAATACTGTCCTGTGGGACACCAGACTGTTCTTAGAAACGAATATTTTAACTAAGGTGGTGTGTAAACAGAGACTCCTGATTTGGGAGGCATTTGATGACATCTTCCACTTCTCATCTGACACATTACAGCATAAGCTGGCTTTGAGCTAAGTACAGAGTTCTTGAACTTCTACTATTATAGGAGGATGCTCTCTTTCATGTGCTGTTTCACAGTCCTGCTCTCCCTGAAACCCCAAATCCTTACACTTGTCAGAGATTTTAATCTAGATCATGGATGAATTTCAGCCACTATTTAAGCATTCATGCCCAACATTTTGCTTTATGGGATGAAGTGAAAAGCTGCTGCACCAGGGTTTTTCAGTATCATCCTCTGCTTGGGCAGGAGGAAGAGCTTTCACCTGGGCAGGTTACACCTGGGGCTGGTGCAGGAATGGATGAAAAGAGAGCATGCTGTCCTGATATATTCTGCCCCTTATAAACCTATTCCCTGAAACCTAGAACTGAGGCTGGGGTATGGGAAAGAGTCCCTGCCTGTCATTCTCCTGCTCTGCCCTTCTCCTCCAGCTTATCTAGCCTAGGTTAGCAAAATCCACTGACATTGTGTTTCCAGGGTTTCCTTGTCTGCTCTTTCCACTCAAAGAGTGTGCCATCTTTGGGCTGCTCACTACTTTCTGACATCTCTCCTTCAGCAGTGCTTTAAAACACATGGTTTCAAAGATTGGTGGGGGAATGGAGGGAACTAAAAAAAAACACCCAATCTTTCTTTTCTTTGGTTGCTGTTTATTGCAGAGAGTTTTGCTTCTCCTTACAGGCGCGGCAGGTGGTGCTCTTGGTCCTTCCAAACACAAGCTGCACTTCCTAAACTCCAGTCAGATCAGAATTGTGCCATCCTGCACCAGCTGGCTGGTTTGAGCCCTGTCTGGTTCTGGGCAGGGTCTTTCAGCTTTGAGTGAAGTGTTTTCCACCAGTGAAGAGGAAAGGAGGGAAGAAAAGGTACTCTGTGTGGGGTTTTGGCAGGAAATGAAGAAAAGATCAGTACAAACAAAAGGAACTAGTTGGCAAGTACATACTTAACCACACTGTAGCCCAATCCAGCCTTCTGTCCCAAATTTAGATGGTAAAAATATTAACTGTGGAACTTACAAGGAAAACGTTGTAGCTATTAAATGGGATGGTTCTGCTGCCGTTGTTTTCTTGTGCTGTGTACATTGAGTAGGATCATGCTTTCACCTACACATTGTAACTTCTCACTGCAAGCACCACAGAACTTGTAACAGCAACAATTCTAATTTCCACTTGTTTGTTTCTCAGCTGGCAGCTATACCTTGTCCATGTATTTGTGTCATCCCTTACATCTTGCAAAATCTGGATCAGAAAGGCCAAGGGCAGGAGACGGGTAAGTTCTCTTCCAGCTGTTAACAAATAGGTAATTAAAACTGGCAAAGTGTCATTATCTTTGATTGTCTTTCTTTTTTAAATAATGTTTCAAGTGGAAAACCTACTTCTCAGGATTTCAAAAATCTTAGTTGAAAGTGCTTAGAAAGTAACTAAAAATAGGCAATTCTGAGCAGAACTTCAAAGTTTGGAATGAAAAATCATGAATACTAGCCAGCTATCTCATCAATAGATTTCTACCCAAGGTTTTTGCAGCAGTTTCCTGGAAAGGTGTCATTGCCAGTTCTTTTCAATTTTTCTCATAAACATATGTTCTTGAGGAATTTAATATTAGGTTAAAAAACAATTAAATCCCCACTTCATTTATTCTAAAGGCACGGAGTTCTGCTGTTCCCTAGTCCTCTCCTGTATATGTTAACTATGTTCAGAGATATGGTAAAATAGAGGAAATGCTTCATTTCACCCAAGAAGTTATTCAAATACACATACAAATATTTGTTTAGGTTTTAGGTTTGTTTTCTTGGAGTGCAAGGAATAGGCACCAATAGATGGTGCTGGTGGTGCATTAATAAGGTTCAATTTCACATTTGTTTTCTGGTCTGTGCTTGGAATTTGCTAAAAAAAAAAAAAAGAGAGAGAACAAAACAAAACAACAAAAAAGAACAAAACAACAAAATCCCTCATGCTAAGCTTTTATCCAAAATGTTCTCCCTGCACTGAACCGGTCACCGTTTAACTTTAACCTGAACTGTGGCCCAGGAAATCCTTCAACATAAATAACCTTGGAAGCTGCCATGACCATTTTTGGAACATGCTGCCTCAATAAATCTGTTACTTTGTTGTGCAATGTTGAAGTGTGCAGTTGTTTCTCTGATTAATTAGGGCAAAAAATAAACTTGCACGATCAATCCAAGCTGTGACACGTTTCAGCCCTGGCTTGAACGTGTGGGCAGAAAAGAACCTTAGAGCCTTTTCCACAGACCTGCCCTGGAATTTTAGGATGCATTGCTAGCTCGGAGTTTACTCCATTTGATGAGATAAGGTGGCTGCTAACAAAGTCTGCAAGAGAAGAGTTTTGGTCTGTCCCAGGACTGTCATTCTAGCTTAGCATGAGTAGGACTGAACACAGTGAGAAATGATTCATCTTGACCACTGCCCCCACTAAAGACAACATAACTGAAGTGTTTTATGTAATTGTGTTTATTTTATTTCACATATTACCCATGGAGAACAGCTGATACATTCTCTATATCTTTCACCAGTCTGGAATGCAAGATAAAAAAGGTATGGATAAAGAGTTTAACGTTTGACATTCACGATATGAAAAATAGAGGGGATACAATGTTTTAAAATGCCCTTATGCAATATATATATATTTATATATATATAAACCGTATAAAAATAAAATATATTTTTTCCAAAAAAAAAAAAAAGACATGGCACAGAACAATCTTAAATACCAATGCATATCTCGTGATCCACACACACCGCACTTATAATTAACAAAAACCACGTACAATTGCACTTTTCCTCTCTGTGACGTTCAAGTATATCGCAGTCCCCGCAGGGACTAATGAGTGTCCGATTCCCTGCCGGGTGCACATAACGCAGAGGGTAGAGCAGATGTGGGCGGCCCGTCCGTGCCCACGGCTGACGCGCACCCTCCGACCCTCGGGGGCGGAGGGCGAGGCCGGGGCCCGTCGCCCACCGGCGGGTCCCCCCCTGAGCATCCCCTCCTCGGGGCGGCGGGGCGCGGGAGCGGCGGTCCCCCGGGAGCAGCGGCGGCGCCTTCGCGTCGCGGGCGGCGGCGGCTGCGGGAGCCGGCGGTGCCCGGCCCAGAGAGAGTCCGTGGCGGGCAGGGGGCGCAGCGTCCGCTGCCCTTCTCAGCTCCCCGCGGAGGGCGCGCCGGGGTCCCGCCCGGGCAGGCGCTCTCCGCGATCCTGGCGGATCTCAGCCCGTGCCTCAGTCCATCCGTCGAGGCGGCCTCGGCCGGCTCCTGCGGCGCTTCAGACTCCGAGGAAGGCGGCGAGGGGCAGCGCCCGGCGCGTCCGTGGGCGCCGCCCGGAGCTGGGGGAGCGCGCTGGGCTGCGGGGCTCGGGCAGGGAACGCCGCCGGCGGCCGTAGCCCTGGGGGCTGATCTTGTTTGGGGGGGCGGCATCGTTCCTGTCGTTGACGGCCGCCCTGTGGAGCTCGTCGACCAGCCAATGCACCGTGCACGTCCCGAAGCGGCACGCCTTTGTTTGGAAGTGGGGGAATCTGTTAATGCTCTGGCGGTAGCGCTTGACGCGGATGTGAGCATCTTCCCGGTTGCTGCAAGAAGAGAGAGAGCGGGCATGAGAAGAGCGCCGTGGGGGCCCGGAGGAGGGGACCCGGTGGGCGAGGGAAGGGGAGGAAGGGAAGGGCTGGAGATGGGCTCGTCCCGACGGTGCCCGGCTGCCCCCCAGCAGTCCCGGCTGTGCCCTCCGCGGGAGCGCCGAGCAGAGCCGGCTGCCCATGCAAGGAGAGGCCCCGCCGGTTTACGGCTGTTACTTTTTCCTAAGCATCCAGGGCTCGAGTTACTATTTATATCTGACTTTCGCAGCAAAGGCGCTACTATCTCCCGCCAGCTAAAGAGCGCGGGGAAAGGAAGGCGGGAGGCTGCTTTCAGCGCGATGGGCAGCCCGGGCAGGACCTGCCTCTGGGGAGGGGAGGATCGACAGCAAGAATAACCCTGAACACCCGGAAACCAGGGAACCCCGAAACTTTCTACTGCCTCGAGCAAGTGCCCGAGCCCAGGAAGGGCTGGAATTTACCTGGGAGGCGAGACTCGGGAATCCTCCTTCACGTCCTGGGTGCGGATGAGAGGCAGCATGTCGGCGGCTGCCCCCAGCCCTCGGAGCAAGCCCGCAGGCTTCACGTCCCTCTTGGCTCGGCTTAGTGCCCATTTCGTCCATCTGAAAGAGCACAAGGGAAGAGGAGAGCCTGTTATCGCAAGTCTGCAGGGCGGGAGCCAAACCAAATAGATTCGAGGGGCGAAAATCTTTGCCAGCACCGAGATTTTTTCCCTTTTTTTTTTTTTTTTTTTCTTCTCCACCCCCCAATGCTTTCTGAAAGGGCACGAGGCCTTTAAGGAGCTGAGCAATCCCTGCAGGGAATCAGGGAATCCAGTGCCTCTGACGGCTGGCTGCCGGAGCCAGGCGCGGGGCGCTGGCAGGAGGGCGCGCTCCGATACTCACTTTCTTTTGAACTCTGTCGCTACGTCCACCCTTGCAGCATCCACCCCGAAGAAGGTCACGGAGCCGAGATAGAGCAGGGCTACGTGAACTAGTTTCATTCTGGCTGGGTCCTGCTGGAAGGAAAAGAGAAGAACTATAAGCATGCTTGCTAATAAAAGTCAAGTAAGGACTGTCCTTTATTGCTGGTGATTCCAGAGAGCTCCTTCCCTCGCAGAGCCCCCAGGCTACCGGGGACTTTGTGTCTGATATGAACCAGAAGCTAATATTTGCTCAACAACTTATCACAGAGTAAATAACAGAGCCTCCAAAGTTTACGTTTGTCGAGAGTTTAGTTGCAGAGGCGGCTGAAAACCAGCAGGATTTCCAGAATACCCCCAGCGGCTTGCACTAGGATTTAGCAAACCCATAAGATCAGAGAGAGCTGGCTATCGGACGCATCGTTTCCAAACTCCAGCAAGTGTTTTACTGCCGGGAAGTTTATTCCCTGATAGCTCCTCTTCCCACTTCACACGCAGAACCAGCTAGGTCTGGATCTTATGTTGTAAACTGCAGCTGATGCCAAGAGCCAGTGCAAGACTCCACAGCATAACTCCAAACTCTTCAAAACAGTCCAAATTTAGTAGAGTTTTACTTGCGTTTCACCTCCCCTGAATCTTTTGTTGCTGCCAAGGGCGGGGAAAAAAAATAGTTCTTACCTGACAGTGAGGATAATCCACTGAGGCAAATGTTTTTGTAGTAGCGATCCGAGCTTGCAGGGTTTCCTGAGGAGCGAGAACTCCTCCTTTGTGTGTGTGTGTGTGAAGTAATCACTGCCGAGCTCTGCGCTCCTCTGCTCGCTTTTATAGAGAGCGCTGAGAAGTGGGTGGACCTTGGCGTGGCTGGGCGAGCTCTCTCTTGGCACCCCCCACCCCCACATTTCAAGCACTCCTTAAGCATTCTGACCTGGACTGGGGGCAACACTGAGGGGGGGGGGGGGGATAAGAGGATTATTGAAAATTATCTTAAACAACCCCCTTGGTATTTTGTTAATTATAACGGCAGCTTTTAGGATTCTGAGTCATGGCACAACTTGCAAAATCCGATGAGCCCCTCAGCCTGTTTTACTGGGGACAGAGGTTTTAACCGCCAAAATATAATTGTATTTATGCTGTCTGTAGAATAATTTCTCATTCTAGACATCTTAGCCTCAGGTGGGTGAAAGCAGGGGAGTGGAAACCAGATTCAATCCATTCCAAAATCCATTAAAATCCATCAAATATCAAAGTTCCAAAAATAAACCCATATTTGGACAACGTGAATTTATAATGAGTAACTGGAATGACAGCCTTCTTTACATAAGTAATGAGGTGGCAAATCGGGCATCATTAATATTTATGACTAAACTTGGGTGCATTTTTTATCTAACAAAATGAATTTTATTTACTTGATCGATTCAAGTAGATCACGATTCAAATGGTTTTGGCAGATGAAGGTCAGAGCCCAGTTCTGTGCCTTGGAACAGAGCAAGTGGCGTTGCTTTGGGGCGAACACGGGGTCACTGAAACGCCTGGGGTTACGGGGCTGGAAGATCCTCCGTGCCTTGTGCCATTCCCAATCCGCAAACCTCACGGATGTGAGTGCAGTTACTTCCCGGTCAGAAAGCTGAACCGGTGCAGGATCGGGATCTCTAACAGCAGTCTCTCGGCTGGCCAGCAGCAAAACCTTAGTCTGACCACCTTGTTATTGGGTTTTTTACAGTCTTTAGCGTCTTTGCTCCGTGACGCTTCAGAAATGCAGCGGTCCGGCTTCGCAGGGGGTGCTGGCAGCCAGCAGCGGATGCACCGTGTCTCCGCTGACTTGTCGCGGTGCAAATTCGGCGGCACCGAGGGAAATGCCCCGGGAGATCTGCGCCCTGGGGAAACAGGGTCCCCCGGCCAGCGAGAGACGCTCGGCAGGAAGGAATGAGTGGTGAGATGCTTCTCTCGCATCTTGCCCCAAGCAAAGTGTTTCAAAAGTCAGGTGAGTGAGCGTGTGCTCGTGACTCTGCCTTTCTGGATAACCGCGGTGTATAACAACACCCCGGAGAGGTATGTGCAGGGGGTGACGGAAACTTTCCTGTGCATGGCTCACTCGGTGCTCCCTCCCTCCCTCCCCCGGCTCTCCAGCAGCGTCCAGACATCTGGAGCCTTCTGTCTTCGGCATCTACCTGTGCGGGACAGGCTGGCCGGGGAGCTGCCACCGCCCGGCCGGCGGGAGGGCCAGCGCTGCCTGTGGCTGCTCCCCATCGCATCAGCCCCGCCGCCCCTCTGCCCCGAGCCCCGGCGCGGCTCCGCGGGGCGAGGCCGTTCCCCGGCCCGGTTCCGCTGCCCGCCGCACCTGCCCGGCCGAGCGCCGGCGGGGCTGCCCCGGCCCAGCCCCGTCCCTGCCGCCCGCAGCTCCGCCGAGCCGCAGCCCCGCTGCCCGCGCCTCGCACCGTGCCCCGGAGCGCAGAGCGGGAGGCTTGGGGGGAAACACAGGGAGGAAGAGATGGGAAAATAAGTGCTCTAGAACGGGACCGTATCATCCCCGGAGCTGCACGACTGGCTGGATTTTAGAGACCTCATGAGGCAGCTCAAGCTCGTGCGAGTTCAAGCATTTCCTTGATTAGCAGAAGTTGAAACTGAATCTAACTTTTTCGGAATGAGAAGGCAGGATTTTAAGTGATAAGCATTGCTTTGACTCAGATTAAGTCTCCCATTCCAGTAAAAAAAAAATTAAAAATCACACGTTTCCTCAAATGCTGGAAAATCCCTCATTAAAATCTTTGGCTTAAACGGGAAGTGTGTTTTGTATACTCTGAGACAAACAATGCAGAAAAAAAATTCTATGTTGATTTAGGAATGTTAATAACAGTAGTAACACAACTCTCACGTTTCTTCCATACTGACTGTAACTATCATCTCAGTGATAAAAAATTACTTGATGTAAATTTATGAGGAGGCAAACTCTGACACATAAATGATCAGTTTGTTGATGATGTGATTTGTGAAAGGGCGTCAGCAGGTAAAGCTGGTTCAAATCTACCACGAAACATCATGTTCTTTGTTCAGAGGCTCATTTTGTTCTTTCTATGAACTTGCATTCTCATGCAGTTTGGAAATGAGCAATAGTCACTGAATTGGTACTGTGATGTAACAGTGACCAATTAAAAAAAAAATTATGCCACAAATAGTTATTTCCTTAAAAAAAAAAACAAAAACCAAAAAAAAACCACCCCAGCTCCACAAGCTGTGAGTCTGAGGCAATGCCAAGCAGTTCAGCAAGAGCAGTGTGTGATGTGAAGTGCAGGGTCTCCCAGATGCTGCCTCATCCATGATGGGAAGCAGCCAGCTCCTGTTTCCTGCTTATCTCGGGTGTACCATTCAACCTCTTGGTGTTCAGAAGACCTTACAGCAAGTATCTGCTCTGGCAGAGACATAGTGAAGATGAGTTGCTGTTTATAGAGCATTTTGTTCAGGCTGAGATTTATTCAAAAAGAAAAGGTCTAAAATCTGTGGGTAGAAATGGGGAATCAATGTGAGGCAAATATTCTGTGCTGATGATGGAAGAAAACTGTTGTTTGAAGCCAGTGGAAGTGCCTTTGCATGTTTCACTTTGTTTAAACAAATTGTTCTGAATTCATATGCCATGAGTATGAATAGACCTGATTGTATTTCAGGCTGCGTGAAATCAGCAGAAAGATAATACTAATAGAAGAATGGCACCCCCTGAAGGATCTAAAACCTCAATCAAGCTGCACACAGAAAAACCTCACTGTTAGCGCCTGCACTGAGCCAGAGCTCTCTGTGCCAAGAGCACAGTGAAAAGGGGTGATTCCATTTCAATAGTCCTGCTGGAGGTGCTCTGGTATACACCAAACAACTCCTCCCAAGTGAGTGAGGGATGTCTCTTGGTAGGGGAAATCTGGTCAGGGTCATGGCTGCGCCCCTGTTCTGGCATGGGTTGGCAGAGTGTGAATTCCCTGTTTCCTGAAGGAGGAGTGAAGTGTAGAAGGTGTTGTGAACATTCACACCTTGTTGTTGGCAAGGGCACAATGTGAGTGTGGCAGCATTGTCCCTTGAGTGCTTTCAGGCTCTTGGAGAGGCTGCAGCCTTGCAATTCTTCCCCTGGGGGAAGTACATGACCAGGGGCTTGTGGAGACAGGTCCCTTGGTGTCCTCTGTGAGCCCCTGCTTCTCCTGTGAGGAGCTAGGCTGCAAGTGAGGGAATTAAGGCTTGGTGGTCTGGATGAGCATTCAAGTTCACTTTTCAGTAGAATTTAGGTGAGCAAACACTCTGCCTGCTCCACTTCTTCATTTGTCCTATAAGAACATAAGATTGCTCTGTTCTTAAGGTAAGTTGCCCAGAGAAATTGTGGATGCCACATCCCTGAAAGTGTTCATGGTGTGGTTGGATGGGTCTGAGCAACCTGGTCTAGTGGCATATGTCCCTGCCTGTAGCAAGGGGGTTGGAACAGGATGATCTTTAAGATCCCTCCTGACCCAAAACCTTCTGTGATTCTGTAAAATAAATAAGCTCAGCTACACCTCCTATTTCTTATTTAAGATGTGCCATTTCTTATAAACTTTAAAAAATTCGGCGGTACTGATCTAGATGGCAGAAGGAGCAAGGCTGTAAAGTGAACACTAGCAGTACTGGGAAATCACTAAATAAACATCTTGCTCTCGAACATTTATTTATTGCTCTTGAGCATTTATTAATGCTCTGGGAAAGGTGTGAGTGATTCTCTCCTACTAGAGATGCTGTGTTAAAAGAGCAGTGAGATTTCACTATTGAGATTTGTAATTGCATATTGAATCTTTTTATGAGTGTAGATATGATAACTCTAAGGACCCATTTCAGCTCAAAATTAGGTAATTTCTCAGTGTCTTTAAACTTTGCCTCCAGGTTTAGCTGTACAGAACATTATCCTTTGCTTCTGTGAACTGTGTCCTGCAACCAAAATGCCTATGCATAACTTAACCAAATCCTGCATGACTTAACCTAACTCCTATGTAGAAGTGACTGTAGAAGTGACTTAACCTAACTCCTATGTAGAAGTGACTGTAGAAGTGAGAAGAGTGCATCTCTTTCTCAAAAAG